TACCTACGTCCAATTTCGTGGTACTGTTAACGTTTGTTTGGACAAATGCCAAGGGGTAAGACGCAATTCTTCCGCATCACACGCTCATCGTCATTTAGCGAAGCTTACTCGAATATCGCGTTCGCATCGTTATGCCAATATCTAATTTCATCTACACCTAATGTATCCGATATTTCAGATCGAGTGCAGCAATGGTCAAATTGGATTCGGCAGAAAGAGAAGAGCCATCGACGTCTCAAATACTGACAATAACAAGCTGTTTGAAGTGACTATGTCTGCTCTCATTAAAGTGGATTTCGAGGAAGACGCAGTGGTCGATAAAGGTAGATCGATCGCCATGTCTTATTCCAATTTTATTATAGTTTATTAATTAAAATTCTGTATTTAACAGCCTTATCCGAGTTATACATCAGAAGAGGAAAGAACAGGACAAAAGCCAGAGCTGTGATCGCGGAAGAAGTGAGAGAGCAACCAGCTCCGACCACGATTAGGACAGAAGAAAGAGCTTTCATAGCGCAAGAGGTTAAAGAACAGTTCAAATATAAGGTTACCGAGACGGAGATAAACGGCTCGTCGTGTAGAACTGCAGTTGCAACCTTCGTCCTCGTTCTGTTCTGTCTCTGCAAATTTTTGTAAGATTCGAAGGGAACGATCTGCAAACCGATGAACGATCGTTGACTGTAAATAGAAAGCGGCTTGAGAACCGGCAGGATTCGAGTATATCGTGGATCGTGGGATAAAAGAATGGATCGAATGTTTAGCCGGATGTTAGCAGATATATCCTTTTCCTTCCTACGTAAGGAAAGACACGCGTATTCGTGCGCGATCGAATGCATATTCGCTTTGTACGATATCGAATCGAGTTGACGAACAAGATCCCGCCCAGTTAACATCGTTCGAGATTTTTACCACTTTGGACAATATTAGGGACAATGTTAATGGAAAGAATTACGGCCGTGAAAATCTTAGAATTGTGATTGATCGTTCCAGAGATATACAAGGATTACTGTATAGGAAGAATAATCACGAAGCTTCGAGTTTGGGTTAATTAGCATCTGCTCAAGAAATTTCTCCGTTCAGCGACCGCCAAATTTTCGCTCACCTCTTCCGTTCTCGCAATCCGCGTTACTTCATTTCCCAGCTGTACCCTCGCGAATAACCGCATAACAATACAGCCGCTATACTGCCAGAAGAAAATTGGCCTTTGCGAGCGGAGAATGTCGAGGAGACCTAGTCGCGCGACGAGATGTAACAAGGTGATGTGACTTAAGCAACTTAGACAATTACGAGGTAATTAATTGCTGCTATAATCTCAATATAATTATAACGGAACGCGCAAAATGTAAAATAACTCTTAATAAAGCGAGAGAATACGCGCGTGGACGCGTGCTCGTTGTTTCGCATCCATGAAGAGATGTTCCCTACTTTATAGACGCGTTAAGGAACAAAGATAGAAGGCTAATAAAGACGCGCATAGAAATATACTTATATATATATACATATATATATATACATATATATATGTATATGTGGAATGTTTAATGATCATGTATACATGATAACTTTGTATAAAAAATATATATCTTTGGCCTAAAATTTTGTTAGGGAGGTTACAAACATCGGTTCATACTTTCATAATTACAGGTCACTGGTTGCATCGTTGAACACGAACCTTACATTCGGAAAATTCCAAATTTAGTTTCTGGTATGGGTGCGTTCAGCGCTGCCGATAGACTAAGGCCTAATACCACTCTAGTGTCGGTCGGATTGATCACACCGTCGTCCCAAAGTCTGAAAAACAATTTACTCTCAATTTGCTCTCATAAAGTGAAAGAAATAACAGTACGTGAAAATCTACCTGGCACTGGCATAGTACGGACTGCTCTCCTTTTCGAATTTCTCTATGATCGGTCTTTTCAGCTCCTCCTCCTCTTCCGGGGTCCACTGTTACAATCGACGAGATTATATCGATAATTGACAAGACAATAACAGAACGAATTTCAATGTTTTGTACCTCTTTCCCATCGCGAACACGTTGCTGCTTGGTAATTTGCGCTATTACATTCGCAGCCTGTACCCCTCCCATCACGGATATTTTTGCATTCGGCCAGGTATAGAGAAATCTTGGCGAATAAGATCTACCGCACATACCTGCGTATGTATCAAAATTAAACAAACTGAACACGACTCGAACAGTCGTTTATCAAATGCAAAGTACCGTAATTTCCTGCTCCGTACGAACCACCGATCACCACCGTAATTTTGGGCACTTGAGCGCAAGCCACGGCGTTCACCATTTTTGCTCCATTTTTAGCAATGCCCTCGGCCTCGGCATCCTTGCCCACCATAAACCCTGCAGTTTTACAATGACCAGATGTATTAGTCGTGGGAACGCGGCAATTTCATTCAACGAGATACGTACCTGTAATATTCTGCAAGAAAATAAGCGGTATCTTTCTCTGAGCGCAGAGCTGCACGAAATGTGTGGCTTTTAACGCGGCCTGCGAAAACAGTATGCCATTATTCGCAACTATTCCCACGGGGTAACCGTAAATTTTCGCGAAGCCGGTAACCAACGTTTCCCCGTACTGCGCCTTAAACTCGCGAAATCTCGATCCATCCACGATCCTCGCTATCACTTCTCTGACATCGTACGGTCGCTTCAAGTTTACGCCAACTATACCATAAATTTCATCGACGGAATACAGTGGTATGTCCATCTGTTTGTCCAAGTTTACGTGCATCGGTCTTTGTCTATTTAAGTCTTTCACAATCTGACGAGCCAAGTACAAGGCGTGAGTATCATCCATGGCATAATGGTCGGTAACTCCAGAGGTTCTGAAATTGAAACTCCAGAACCATAATCGAAAACAAACGATGTGTCCAAATGTACTTGTTAATTACCGACAATGAACCGTCGCACCGCCCAACTCCTCCGGTGTAACATCTTCGCCAGTAGAAGCTTTCACCAAAGGCGGACCAGCCAAGAAGATAGTACCCTGATTGCCAACGATTATGTTTTCGTCGGCCATAGCTGGCAAGTATGCGCCTCCTGTATAAATTGATTAAATGTCATTGCGAATAATTGGCGTATAACAGTGCCGAGAGATTCAAGTAGAATACGCGGATCATAGTCAGACCTGCTGTGCAACTTCCCATTACTACTGCAATTTGCGCGATCCCCTTCGAACTTAGGATCGCCTGATTGTAGAAGCTTCTTCCGAAATGCATTTTATCCGGAAATACCTCGGCTTGTCTAGATAAATTTGCGCCACCACTGTCTACCAAATATATGCATGGCAAATGATTCTCTTCCGCAATTTCTTGAGCTCTCAAGTGCTTTTTCACCGTGATTGGATAGTACGTGCCCCCCTTCACAGTCGGATCATTTGCAACTATTACGCATTCAGTGCTAAATGGTGACGACATATTTTTAACGTAATTATCAAAGAATTTTTTCAAGTCCGGAAATTGGAAATACTTACCCTTCTACCCTGCCGATGCCAGTAATAATTCCACCAGCTGGCACTTTCTCGTTATCGTACAGTTCGTAACCAGCTAACTGAGAAAATTCGAGAAAAGGAGATGTCGGATCGAGAAGCGTGTCAATTCGTGCTCGTGGTAAAAGTTTTCCCTTTTTTACGTGTCTTTCTCTCGCCTTTCGTCCCCCGCCCTCTACTACCTTTTCGACTGTCTCTTTTAGTCTATCTACCATACACTTCATTTGTACATAATTGTCCTAGAAACATTTTTTTACCAACTCCACATTCGTTCTGACAATCGTTTTTAACCTCCAACCAGTATCATTGGCTCATAGATAATTACTATAGAGTTTATTCAATCATAATTTGTATTTTTTACTTTACGCAACGAAAATCACTGATAGTCATTACGATGACAGTCATAAAATGTAGAATAAAATTAATCAAATACTAAATATTAGAAATCATAATTGTACAAATACTGTTATTAATTATCCCGATTTGGCAAAATAATTCAAGCTGTGTGATCGCTAATGATTCAACGATAACCAATTGAGAGCCAATTATTTTCATTATTCGAAACATTGCATGCACTGTTTTTAATAAATTATGAAAAAAAGGCGCGCGCAATGTTCGTAACGTTTGTATTACGCGCCATACATCATCGTGAGTCAGTTGTGCAGTCGTCCATCACGCTCCGAATGCATTTAAATAAACGATATCGATTTATCTCGCTCAAGTGATAAAATAATCCGTCCGTGCAATTAATATCGCGATAATTTTTACATCCCTTTCAAAGTGATAAGTTAATATCGAAAGTGGAATCCTTAAAGAGATTAGTTTCAGGATGGTTCGTTTATGAATGAAATGCGCATGTACTCTCGTTCTAACCTGATACTCCGGCGACTTGGTGTCTTGTTCACTACCGATAATGATAGCTTCATCGTGAAACGTTCTTGTAGTACGGCGTAAATTTCTCATAAAAAGATTTCCTTTCCTTAACATCCTTATTAATATCGATCTTTCTGTTACTTTACTTTCGTGAATTATATGTAACTATAGCGCGTACTATGATCACTACACTTTACGCTTGCTTATATACACAGCAGCTACAACAATGTAATTCACTTATTTTTGAGACCGAGCTACGCTGCCATCTCAGTGAAGTTATTCACAGTTCGGAGACTCAAGTTTTTATCGTGATATGCGGTGGGAATAACACATAATAGTAGCAGACTACTTATCAAAGCATTGTGAAGAGAGATAACTTTTTTCAATTCAGGATCACGTAGGGTCAATGATATAATACAAAATACGTCAAGATATCGTAGATTTTTCAATAGAACGAAACATAAAAATGTTTTTGTTGCTTTTATTAATTAACGATGTTAAATTTTATATCTTTTACGATCGATGATGTAAAATGGTATAACATAAACAAAAGATAGACAAATTTTTAATTAATACATATTAAATTCAAATAATTGGTACGCATTGCATTTTATAGATGGTGCTCAGATCGCAGGTTTGTGCTAGATGTCGTTGGAAACGGAGGTGTATCGCTACGCAGTATCCGTTTTGCGTTGCATTGATGAAAGGTTTAGAAAAAGGGTGAAGTTTGAGAATACTTTATCAATCGTGAACGAATAACAAACGTGTCTCGACTGATAAGTACCTAACGATAGTCAACGTAGAAGCAAAGAACGTGACAAGGTATTAGATCAAGTTCGAGAAAAATTTGAAAGCTTACAGAATGCCGGACATATCCAGTCTATCTCATTACCCTTTAAAGGTAAATATCATTAAAGTAACATTCGATTTGTCATTTCCTTGAATAATTCTACTTTGGAATCATTTGCTTTATTCCTATTCGTTGCACGTCATATTCCTTACTTTTTCTCGTTTCGCTTTGTTATCGCTTTCCGCTCGAGCGATTACGACGATTTCTCATCGATACTCGGTGTTTCCAATTATGAGAACAGATGTCAGATAACCTCCTAAAATTGTAATTACCTTTTACGAAGGCTTTACCGTAGTTCTTTTCGACGATGCATGTTTTCTAAAGAGTAAAATAGAATTATGTAAGGGCACGGCAATGAAACAATTCCATAACTTGTTTGACAAGTTTCTCGTATTATCAAGGCGGTTTCTACAATACCGCAATTGCATTATCAAGAATCCGTTGCCTAGAAAACTCTACTTATTTAGCATTTTAAGATCATTTTTTATGATCTTGTCGGATTTTTTCAGGTGATATTTGCAATTCATTTAGTCCTAGTAACATGGTAAGAATAAACTTTTTGTTTACTGTATACTAATCTGCAATTTAGAAAATATTGTAAAGTACTGTAATGTATGGAATGTCATATTTGTACTACATAGTTAAACGATGGATTTCTAGGAGCATTCAGGGACATTGGTGCCCAAGGTCTGTAATGTTTTACAATTTTCTTTTCTTCGTTTGTTTATTGTGGGCTATTCACAATATCGAATCAGACGAACCTCTGCAATTTGTAAGCATTTAACCATTCATATATATTTTATGGTTCTGGTAAGATCAGTGTTTGTAATAGAATTATATATTTTAGGCACTTTTTATAAATGTACTGTCCATTTTTTTTGACATAGTAACATTAGCAGTCTATTTCCCATCAATGTGTAAGTTGGTGCCACTTACTATCAAATTTAAGACTAACACTTAAAGCTTGATAAATTATATCGTTGATTAACCTCCCTACGCAGAAGATATATCAATCTGATCGCACGAACTTGTAGATGTATCTGAGACGCTTAGTGCAACAATTATGATCATAAACATGATTGTTCGCATCATCACAAGCGTATATCTTCTACGAATAGGCCAAGCAAGAGGTGGATGTTTATCCACGATGTTTACTACAGGTCCTGCAATGGGTCAGTAATACATTGGAATACAGATGTTTTGTAGGCCTGCGTTGCTTCTACAAAGTTATGCTTTGAGTAGGTGCATGACATCTTTTGTTTCAAGTATGCACATTATATCGCACAGTTTACACTACGTTGTTTATAATGGTATTTGTGAATGTAATGCTTGATACGATACAAACTGTTTACAATGTACAGTGTTTTATTTGCAACCATGTTGAACTATGCACTGTGTCGTACTGCCTTTTTTTGTATGCGTGGTTCACAATTTGAAGGGGATGGGGAACAAACTTTTATGAATGTTTTTCTATTTTAGGCTTTGGTCGACAGGATTACGAGGACATATCTCATCCGATTCCACAAAATTCCGATTTTGCTGGAGTTTAAAAATACGATATGACATTACTAAAGTTCGATACGTCGAAAATTACGCGATATCGTTGTCGTATCTCTCGTAACTCGTAAGAAGTACGCGCACGTATAATCACGTCACTGACATTAAATATTACTTTATTTATATATTTTAGAATCTCTAACAACGATGACATTCAGTGCAATCTAGAATTTTTATTTTATGTATATACCGTATGCAAATAACGCTCCGTCGATACGCGATGACACGAAAAGAACCGTATATTATTATATCATTATAATAAAACTTAACTTAATTATACGTTTCATACGCCCAACCTATAGATTTTATTCTGTACAATTATTTGTACTCGTAACATGTGAATAAAAATTTTCATTGCAACCGTATGCCCGAACTCCTTAGGTTTTCATGGACTGTAATCTTTAATCTTCAATCTCTTAAACTTATTATTTAAGGCTACATTGTTCGTAGATTAATGAAAAAAAAAGAAAAAAGTAGAAAACGAATAATCATTGGATTAATCCTCTGATGGGCGGGCAGGAGATTATAAATCAAATTTTGATTAAAGCAGGATAAATACGCTATTCAATATTGCTGTCTTTTGTTTACGATGTTTGCTTAATTCGAATTACTTTGTTGAAAATAATATAAGTTCTTTTCAAATATTAATCATTTTCCAAGAAAAAAGATATTCTCTTATACTCTTTTGCCCGTCCACCGGAGAATGACTAGACAATAAGGAAGATAAAGAAATAACGATTATGTTTGATTAACGATAAATATATTTTTGCGAAGGTGTCGAAAGAGGAAAGAATGATATTCAAAGCAGCCGCGTAGCGACAGTGGCGCGAGTCAGTGGAAAAAGAGTGGCGCCACTGATGAACTATAAGAGCCGCATCGGTGAGGCGGCGTGGTTCAGTAGTGTGCGTGACCGTTCCGGGAGGAGGGTGACTCCACGCGCGGCCACACCGCGAAACCGTGCCCCACTCGCCTCAACCACGAACGTCCACTCGTTTTCTCGTCTCGTGAAAACATGGCGGCCAGCGACGACGAGCCGATGCATCTCTACGAGGTCTTTCAAAACTGCTTCAATAAGATCGCCAACAAGCATCCTGGTGAGTGTCGTCAGTCACTGAAACAATATTCATTAAACACAGAGAATCAGGAGAATTCTGTGCTGTGCGTGTACCGTGTGAAGATAGAGCGACGGAGTCTCTTGTGTCTAGTGTCTTCTGCGAGAGCACCGTGCATTAAATGCAGCAAGCGTCGCTTTTGGTGGTTCCCTTGTGTCAACGAATCATTTTACAAAGGGATAGGAAGAATTCGAGTGTTGTGTTTCGGTCGATCGAGCTCTTGATCACGTCGACGATCCGTGCCGGACGATTCTCTCGACTGACTCGCTCCGTTCTGTGTTTTGGTTTGCTTGTCAGTGCTTTGGACAGTGCTGCCCCGTCGTAGTGAACTAACCCCCCGAGAGAGAGAGATTAGTTCTCTTCCTTGTGCTTCGTGTATCGCTATTATTGTTCTTTCGTTCGTTTAAACTCGAATACTATTTGCATATTGTCCGTGTGGCGTACTAGACGTCGAAAATATAGTCGACATAACCTAGACATCGGAGACTCGTCGCTCTCTCGCTCGCTGTCATGTGCAACAGTCGATCGAAACTGTTGTGATACATTTGTAAAGCGTCCGTGCGACTAATACCGAAAACAACAACGTTAGACATTAATGCATTATTATTTATTTCGCGTATCATCGACGTTCGTCGATGTAGCGATATTCGTTTTCAAAAGTTGGCCCCCGATTGGGCGAGACAACCGAGACTCGATCATGTACCACGTGTCCTCTCGGCGACGCCGCTGGAATCGTTAGAGGTTAATCGCTCGAACATAATATAAGAAAGACCATAAATCGGAATCTTTCTACTGGCACAGAATCTCGAAAGACTTCTCGAGGGTAGGAATTACGGTCCTTTCTTTCTTTTTCATTTCTTTTTTTCATTTCTCGCCTTTCCCTTTTCACGTAGTTGACCGAGAAATAAATAGTTCTTACAATTCGGAGCATTGTTACGCCATGGTCGTTGCGTGAACTGTATTTAAAAGAGGTTCCCATCCTTTCGCGACAGTTCTAACACACGTCAATTCCAGCACGTGCCTGTCCGATCGAACGCCGATGATATTATCGACGCTCGATGTTGATCACGCTCGTGGTCGAATATTCTTATCTGTTTTCGAAATTTATATCTAATATGGTGACATTGTCGAGCTTTGATTTATCAGCGATAAGGTTAATAAGGGTAGCAGGTTTGGTCGGTCGTGTCGGTCGTGTCGGCCACGAAATCATTCCGAAAATTGTTGTTCAAAGGGAATTGTAAAGTCGACTGTTTGCATGTCGCTTGGGATAGTTGGTAAACCGAGTCTCGGTTGTTTGTTTAGCTTGTGGATACTGTTTGGAAAACGCTGGAGGTGGTGCATGGTTGTCCTCGACCAAATGCTCTTCCTAGTCGGTAACGAAATGTTTCGTGTCGCACCTAGTACCTACGTATACTACTATACACAGGATCGACTATCCAAATTAAACGTTTTTTCTTTCTCTTGTTAGACGAGCCGCGTTAGATTGATATATCGATGCACGCGGCGAGTTCGTGTATTTAATCGGAGATTAGATATACGATTCGCCGGCCGAACGGCGTGTCGAGTTTTACACGATGTTTGAAGAGCGGTCCGAATAATTTCGAAAATATCGCGTCGATTGTTTAGGATCGATCGTCGTCTTACTCATTTATATTCCCGATGTTTAAGCGCGCACGGTGTCGGGTTCGTTAAGCGTCAATTGTTCGGACGAGGCGTCCGCCAATTGCCAACAATCCGGTTAATTCTTCGCTCGTTTCGCCCCTGTTAATTTCAACGATTGCCACTTTGACTGGAAACATTGTATACGATTTGATATAAAGCCTCGTTCAGATTAGTCCGGTTACCTGAATTCGTACGATTTAAAGTCCAGTAACTTGAAACTTCTTTACCAGCATGAAATTACCGTTTACTTTATTCCAGACATTCTTTCGAGTTTTTTTACTTCATCAGACTCGTTGGCAGTGAAACTACCAAATCGATCGGAATGATGCGCAGATTTTTTAGTTTTGCAGCTATTAAAATGGTGTATGCGTTTTCGGTAATAATAATGCTTGCTTTTATTAAGACGGGAACACGATCACGTTTCTTATCTTATTTTGTTATTCTTGTCTCGTTACTTTAATCTTATACGATATATGCAGGTTGATATTAAAGGTAGTTCTATAGTATTGGTCAATTGTAACTTAAGGAGCAGCTAATATTTGATACAGGCCACAAATTCTCATTCATTGTTTTAATATCCGAAGGGTCAGGGCTCGATCGTTCAAGTGCAAGGGTATCTAAAAATAAAGGGGAATCTCCAACGTACATTCCACAGATATTTCTTTCCATTTGGACGAAGCGTTTCTATCTTTGTTCGTTAATGGGACTGTACGTACATATGTATACGTCTCAAAGGTTCTCGCACGACAGGATGGGCAAACGGCAAAATTGCACGTAATGCCACGAAAACACGAGCGTAGATTTTAATGGTCGATTCGATCTAAAATTATCAGACAGTGACTCACGAGTAAATTTACCTGAAGCGGAGTTTGTTTCGGGAAACCGCGGCACGATAAAGCGTTCACCGTCCACGATACGTTTACTTAGGAGCAAATACTTTCTGCAAGCACTAATTATTCAATGTTGACCAACGAAACGCGGATGAGTGTACAGGGTGTTTCGGAAACGATCTTTTACGATCTTGAAAATTTTATCTCTCGATATTCCAGCCTGTTTCAATCGTTGATATTACTGATTCATAGTTGAAAGAGGCTTGGAACTCCGAAAGTAAAAGATATCTGGATCGATGTGCATCTATTAAGACTCTTTCGCTTGTTTTGGCGGAGCAGTGCGTGGTCTTGAAGCTTTGCCTCGACTCTCATTCACGTTCCCTAAACTTTCTCCGATTGCAATGTTTTTGTCCGGGATCGATATTTCGGTATGAAGAAACGCGGTGCGATATCTCGGTGGTGGCTGGAAAATCGAATCTTCCACGGGGCGATTCTGTTTCAGCTCGTAAACTGTAGCGACGAATCCGTGCGACTTGCAAGTATTACAAGGGAATACCTCCTCGCAGGGAAACGCGGCTGATTTGATCTGACCCAAGAGCGCCATTTCTGAAACTCTCTCGTTCCCCAGAGCGAGAGTTTGAACGAACAACCATAAACGAGCTCCAGACACAACACTCGTGACTTAGCTCTCCTTCTTCCTTTCTCTTTCCATCCCACAGACCCTTCGATTTCTCTCTTTTTCCCTTTTTACCTTATTTCTCTCTCAGGAGAATTATCGAGGGAGTGTCACCGTGATGCACCTGCCTCTTGCTCTCTCTTTCTCTCTTTCTCTCTTTTTTCTCACTCCCGCTATATCCCTGTCTTCCTGCCGCCTTCTCCTTCACTCTCGCATTGCTTATTGGTCGCACACGCGCCTCGCACACGACTTGGTACCGCAATGGATCGCCTATGAAAATTCTCGATGGTACTCCAAGTGGATAAACGGATGATTTCGTAACTGCGGAAATGAAAATGTATACGACTCCCAAATGTAAACTGCAATTTCCTCTAGCAGTTATGATTCTGTATAGTACGTATGTTGCCGAAAACAATTACAGTATTAGAGGATGGCTGTGCATCGATCTATCGAGTCGAAATAAAAAAGACTATGGATCCGATAAATCGATAAAAAAAGAAAAAAAATTGAAGCGATAAACGTTAACCATTAGAACCCTTTCGCATATTTCGACTAACGTTATTAGCGAAAATTTACATTGTTCCAATTTTTCTGAACGCGATAGGGAAGCGATTTTAAAACTCGATACGTCATCGATCAATTTCGCTTCAAAACTATCTTTCCATTTATTTTTGAAGTCGAATATACGTTTCTATCAGCCTCTTGAGCACTTAAGAAATATTAATTAATATCGCGTATGCGGAATAATATTGATTGAATTGGACAACCGGAAGGTGTGTACATGCGTGTCTCCAAAGCACGCGAATTCGATTTCTTGCATCGCGAAGCGCTGCTCTATTCTTCGAGACGTTCGAACGACTCGTTACTCGTTAACGAACCGTTCGTGAAGCCGTGTTCACGGAGAGGATGCGGGATTCTAGCGCTATTCTTCGGTAGCTGCAATTCCGGAAGCTGTCCAGTCTGAAAGTAAATCAGGGAAAAGTTTCCCGTGGTTCGGCTACGAAACTTTTCGATCCTCTTCTTAGGGAAGGCCAAGTCCAAAGTGCGTTTCATGTACGGGCGCGCACACACAAATCAAGGATGAGCATAATCTACATTTACAGCAGGGGCCCGATGAGCATCTGCTTCCACCCCTCTTCGCCCTCGACCCCTCATCCCTCGACGCCCTAGTCTGAATCCCTTTCTCCGCCAACGAGCATCCTCCCACCGTCGTGCACGCGTGTATTCTCCCGATCACGATCGTTTCTTCCTCGTCCGCGTCGAACTTTGTTCGCTCGTTCCCTCTCTCTTCCATTTACACGCCAGAAACGTATAATATACAGCCAACGCGTAGTATACAGCGTCGGCCATAAGTATATCAACACGCTTATAAACATTTAGCGTAAGTCGAATGCTTTTGACTACTTTTATTTTCTAGCTGTACCGTTATAAATAAGCTGCGGATTTTTATGCAATTTTCTATTCTTATCAAGAGAATCGAGAAAACCGGACGAAATTTATTTCGTTATATCTATACGCATAATACAGTCGCCTCGGAAAGAGTAAGCCAACGCCCTTTAAACGTAAGACGGCTAACTTGGTTCCCGAGGTGACTATATCTGTCTATAATGTAAAATATCGAACAAAGTAAAATTTGTTGGTGTCTTGCATCGAATGTAATTGGGTAGGTGCGCTGATACTTATGGCCGGCGGTGTATTATATACGCGCGTGCGACACCAGTGTCGATAGGTCACGCGGAGATCTCTTCGCACGTTATCTTCAACTTTATTATTTGCTTTATCGCTAGCGAAAAATTTGTAATCATTTAAGCTCGACCTTTCAATTCATCTCGATTTTTCCGACCTCTCCCTCTCTCTCTTTCACTCCCTCTCTCTCTCTCTCTCTCTCTCTCTCTCTCTCTCTCTCTTTGCATCTATTGCGTCTCGAAACAGAGGATTCTCTTTTTGCGTTCTTCGCGAAATCTGTGTAGATATTGTTGGTTGTTGTGGGTTTTATCTTCTCGCTGCGAGCAGGATAAAAATGCGCTTTGATAAAATGCTTAACGAGTCGTAACACTTTGTATATAGGATGATACTAATATATTGTGACGATATGAGTAATTTCAATATGCACTGGTATTTTTTCGTTCGAGGGTGAATGTGCGTCTTTCGATCGTGAGGTCATCGAGATAACAGTAATATACAGACGCGTATTTATCAGCAATCGTGTTCGCGAATCTTAAAATGTTGCAGAAATTGTTGTGTTCGCGCTTCGAAGGATTATTTTTCGCTTAATGAGAAAACACGCGTATCACGCAGCCTTCTTTAAACTTAAGATGATTATTAAGGATAAGGAAACGCGACCAGATGCAAAACGAAGGAAAGAACGCGGCAGAGTCGAAGGTTAGTCAAAGCATGGAGATTTACTTTCGGGCTCCTGAACTAGATTAGCTGGCTCGATAGTGGAGAGTAGACGCGAAGGTGTTTGGAAGTTGGCGAAACGGGCGAGTGCACGGTGCGACTCGAATTCCTGACTAATGCAAGTCCCTCGTTACCGAACGTACGCCGCCATTCGCCGCGCTCCCGTTATGGTCGATATGAATTTGCCACAGCGTGAAACGCCATCGTCCTGAAACTCTTCGCTTCCCTCCCATTCTCCTTCTCTTTCTCTCCGTATCTTCTCCTCGAGAGTAACGCGCCAACAATCTCGTGTCTCCGCTCTTTCTGTATTTCTCTCTCGGTGGCCGTCGGCTGGTCTTGGTAAATTCGCGATGTTCCACGGTGAAGAGCAAAAGTCCATTAGCCACTGCGAGAACTGGGTTACCGAGAGGAGCTTGGACAGATAAAAAAGATTCCCGACGATTCTCTATATTTGGCGCTTGTCGTTCCCTTTCGCCGATCAGCCGTTTCTGATACGAGATCTCCGATTCGAACTTCAAAGTCTCCAAAATCATGCAACGTTTCCCTTGGTTTCTCTTACCACGGATACGCGTTTCTTACGCCGAATGTCTCCGCAAGAGTTGATATCGCGTTCTCTGGAAAGACGGTCTATCGTCCTAGAGAGTCTCTTAGCAGTTTGACTGAAAGCACCACCCTATGGAGTACCATATCCTGCTATCCTCTTGTCTCATTGGCGTAGGCTTCACTGTTCTCAACTTCGTTCTCCTTTATCGTTATAATGATAAAAGTTTCTTCGGATAGATTTACTAGTTTGTGCGTCGAGAACGACAAGTGAAATTCGTATAATAGAAGTTCGTCGATTCTCCTTATTACCGATAATTTTTCGTTCATACGGTAGGTGTCGAGCTTCAGATAAATAATGTCCATATAAACGGAATTCGCTCGTAATTTAAATTCTCTAAAATATTCCATTTGCTCGTTATAAAATTCCACGAAATATCACTTTTGCAGTAGAGCGAAAGTGAAAGATCTATCTGACCAGAAACCTTTACACGCTGTTTAACGACAAAGAGGGATAAATTGTATCAGCAAATCTATTAAATCAAACATGTTCTAGTATAGTCTGTTATCGCAGCATAGAAGTTGAGTCTCTTCTGGTTAACAATTCTGCAGTTGTATAACTGCATAGATCCTCGATCTGCGTATTCTTGTTTTCGTTGCAAGGGTACCAAAAGTAGCCTCGCTTTCTAAAAGAAGTATAAAAAAAGGAGAAAGAAAGGAAGGAGACTGGCGGAGACGAAGAAATTGATCGCAGGCCGATTTAAGCTGGGTAGGAAGAGCGATGCCACCTGTAACAGATCGTGAGCGCGCGTAATCGGCGAAAAGCTGGCTGGTCGAACGCGTGTGCAGACATTCACGCTCGCGCACAAATGCACGCAAGTGCGCGCCGCTGGTGGGTCTGTACGGCGCCGACCTGCACCACGGTTCGGAATAGACATCTGGCCAGATTTCGTTAAGTTTGGCCCACGTGTACACACCTATACGTACGTGTATATATACGGCATATATAGACGCGTACACGCGACACCGGGGCTCGAACAAATGTGCATTCGGCTCCTGGCGCCAGAGCCGAAAAGGGGGCTCTGATTTTTTGGCAGGTGCCACTGTCCTCGACCAGCGTCACTTTCCGACGTTCAATGGCCTGCCCCCGACTCACGAAATTCCTCGGAATTTCGAGTCTCATCGACCGCGAGATACCACGGGTCAAACTCGACCATCGAACTTTGTCTGCCCTGTAATTTCCCTCTGATCATCCTCGACTCGATTCTCTCTGTCTGTCTCTCTCTCTCTCTCTTTCTCTCCCTCCCGCCCCTCACCCATTCCTCGGCTCCGTCGATTTAGCGGGAAGCAATTCTCAGAAGAAATAGCTGTTCCGTCTATCGTCGTTTATAAGGCACCCTTGCCTTTCCACCCTGAGTAAAGGAAAGACCATCGAACGCGCGTGAGAACGCGTGATCTGGTAAAACGTGAAGGCGAAAATGGCGGCAGCTTCTCACCTGTTGAACGCAACCCCGAGGCGATGCAGAAGATTTGCTCCTGCCTCGAACGTTGATACTCTTGGTGGTCCTCTTGCGCCGTGTTGGTTCACGTGAACCCGTGAATGAAAACCCGGGTTAACCTAGTCGCGAGAACTGGAGTGAGAGGGAGAGAGACAGCACGAAATCGGAGCACGTGTACGCCACGTGCCATGGGCGGCACGAGCTCGCGCGCGCGCGCACACGCACGCACCTTCGCCACCTTTTTTCCACGCGATTTTACTTAACGCGGGCACTTCACCCGTTTTCACCATTTTCGATCGTCCAGTATCAAACCGTGAACCTGTTCTCGCGCGTACTCGCGATTTTCGGACGAATCGTGCCAATGTGCATGCATCCTATCTTTCACTTTGGGTTTACCTTCTGTACACAGTGCCCCATGAAAGTATTTGAACGATTATCATCGGACTGCGGATTTTTATGAAAATTCGTATTTATATGAAAACGAGGAAAGTAGAAACTTAGACAGAGGAGGTTCGTTTTATCCGTTAAATGTTACAACAGGTCTTGTATTTTAGGTATTTTATATATTTTCGTTATTATGTACATCCTATACGTGTTTTCGATCTTTAAATACCCCATGAATGTATAAAAATTCGTAGCGTTCGCGCTTTTCTGGACAACTATACCTTAAATAAACATACTCATACTCGTCATACTGACGAATAGATTGCTGATATATGTGCAAAACGATGCAGGAATGTAGATGAATATAGAAATTTATAAAATATCTGTACTAATGATCTATAAAATATCTTTCATCTGTATGTGCAAAAATATGAATTTGCGTAAACATCCATAAATTGAAAAGTAGCAGTTAAAATTCTAAGCTACGTCGTTCGTGTTTATCGTTGCTTTTCTTACGGAGACATCGAGTTGGATTCTGTCCAAGGAACACGAACAAAAGGGATTCGCGAAACGATACCCTCGACGGATAATCCATTTCAGGAACATTTCAGATCATTTTCCTCTATCAGTCTCGTTCGATTATTTCTTCGTCTGCGCTTAGGTCAACATTTCGAGAGAATTGAAATTGAAGTAGTAATTGATCACGAGGAAGATCGAAATTTCAAGAAAACTTTAGAGTGATTTTTGGCTTTACGATGTTTATAAACCTGTAAAAGACACCTGTAAAAGATGGCGCTCTGAGAAGACAGATCCCCCTCTTTGTCCAACGAACGACTCGATTACTATATCGTTTTCCTCTGTCAATTTATTTCTCCCAATTATTCCCTGATTTTCGTTCGACGCGAGAAAAAGAAACTTTAAGACAAATGAACGACGTATTGCTTGCCGTGAGAAACCTCAGTTATGTGGGCTGCGTGAATCATATATGGCGCTCCACGTGAGAACAACGGCAAAGAAATATATTTATCTATACTCGAACAACCTTATCGCTATCCGCCCAAGGCTAAAACAGTTCCGGTCAGAAGGAACCAGATATTTGTGATTATTACTGGCGATGTATTAAAAAGATGTTTGAGAGTCACTGGAGCCCCCGTGGCCTGCGCCACTGTCCTCCGGTGGGCCCCTTCTAGGGTAACACGAAGGGGGGCACTGACAGCGACAGCTGCCGCTGCTGCTGCTATATTCCCCTCCTTCTTTCTTTCTCCATCTCTCCTACTCGTTGTCCACGTCTTGCCGTTTCCACTCGGTCCCTTTTGCCGGAGCCATAGCCCTCTTGGTCCCGCGGGGCCCGTTGGCACCACGGCATCCCCACCATGATGCCCATGGTCGCGTGGCAGCCAGCCTTCTCCTCTACAAAATACACCTTCGCCGTTCCGTTTACATCCAAACGCCGCAACGGACGGTCCCCTTTTTTCTTCCTTTTTCTTTCTCCCCCTCTCTTTTTCTTTTTCCCTTCGTTCTTTCTTCTTGCAGCGCTTCCTTTCCTCAGACTGCGAATATCACGCTCGAGCCAGCCTCGCTTCTTCTTGCGAATCGTACGCTCGATTCGTCTCTTCGCGTTGATACGTACCGGTCGTTGCGCTTGCTACTCTTTTTATCCCAAATTTTTGCTGCTCCTGCTATCTTCCGCTACGGAAAGTAACGGTTTCAAAATACTCGCTTCGATAGCTTGCATCGGTCTCTCCGATTCGGATTTCACCTGCTCTGATTGGTATACAAGGGATGATTTAATTAGTTGCAATTGGAACGTCGAATAAAAATCGATGCAGGCTCCATTATACTTGTATCAATCATATGTACGTGCACGTACATTTATATATATGTGTACATACACGACTTTTACACACCTGACGATAAGTATTCTTTCGTTGCTACGCGTGCATTGCTCTCCGTGTAGTAACAAGCAACTGCCGAGAAAAAGTGGCTCGTCTGCATCGATCCTGAGTGAAGTATTTCCGCGAAGTCCATCGGTACTCGAAGAATTTGTCTGGATCGGCCACCGCGTTTCGCGACTTCGATTTCTATAATTTTCGCTCACATTCGTGGGGTCCTTGTACCTATCCGTGTACCTAGCCGTACACCCATAATACACTGCGGTTTCAGAGCCGATGAATAAGTTGCGATATTATACGTAGAAGTATAATGCACACGCTCTTCCGATTATTTTCACTACGCTGATTCCACTGTGGCCTTGCGAGCGAGCTTTCGAAATTCTGGCCTTGCAAACAGCTTGGAAACTTGGAGATATAAAAACCTGCATGAAAAATTCCTTCGAATATTAATTTCATCCGAGTCCAAGCTGAACGTTTCAAGACAATAGCGTAAGACCCGCGTGTTAAGTAGCGTTAGATCGTCGTTGCAATAGAACAGAGAGAAACGATAGTAGATCGATCGAACGATTCGATCGGAGTCAGGGCGCTGGTTCGGTTGAGCACCAGTGTCTACCTGAGTTCTTTTTCATATTTTTTTTCCTCTTTCTCTGCTGGTCTTCTATTCTTCCTCCCTCTGGTGTACGTATCCCCTCTACCATTGGGGTCGAGGGCCCCAAGGGTGGCAAACCTTTCCCCCTTCCTCTTCTTTCTCTATTCTCTGCTGGCCGCGAACTTCTTTTTTCTTCTTTTTTCTCTTCCCTTCCTCCCTTCTTCTTTCTCTCTCCTCCCTTTCTTTGTCCGTGCGTGTCTCTCTCTCTCTCTCTCTCGCGCTCACTCGCTCGCTTTCTCTCGCTTACCTGCGGGAACTTGGAACACCCTTTTGGGTCGCGTGGCACCGTGCACCGGCATGGTACACACGCGAATTCTCCCATAGAAATCGCTCGTTGGGGTGCGTGGGTCTGCGTAGTGGCGGTATACGTATCGGGTGTCCTGCAAATATAACAAAGAAAAGAAGAATTCTTGAGCCGAATCTGAAAATTTATACAGAAGTTACGACTATTGCAAGACGCTTACCGCAAATGTACATATATCTGGTAAAAAAATTAGCATACAGCATGAATAGATATCTGAAACATATAATAAGCGCAGAGTAATCTCTGCAGGTTATGGGTATTCTATGTACTTTTTATTTTCAGATTTGTTTCAGAATTTGTCTGATACAATCGTGAAATGTTTCGTTACGGTGGAGATGAAATTTCAAAATGTTTCCTATAATACGCGTGATGTATTCGTAAAAGGTTTCTGTAAGTATTGGAATACTTTTGTCAGACGCTGTATCTTGTATTTTGGGAATGTCAGTCGTATCCTGATTTCTTGAAACGTCGTCACGAAACGTCGAGGACGACTATTAAAATTTACACGCGGGCGTAAAAAAATGCAGCGACTATTCGAGGGAGATAATCGAATTAAGCCTTTCCAAGGCGCGCAGGTGTTTCATTATTTCTTTCGTCGTTTTTACAAGCTTCGCCGTCACATTTTTCTCCGCGTTCATTTACGTTTGGTTTAATCGTGCTCTCAACAGGTGGCGATACAACACGTTAGAAATTCGATCGACCAGATTTCGGGCAGCTTTCTTTCTCCGCTCGATCGTACGAGGCAAATTGCTCGAGGTCCTACTTCGCGAAGCTGTGGTTCGTCGCCGAGACAGCGACGAAGTTTTGCCGGTGTTTCGCGTTTCTCGAAAGAGTTGCTGGTTGTTACCCGATGATACTTTATTTTTCTTCGTGTTCCTGTTGCTAGCTACATGTTAATAAAAGTTGTCGCTTGTGGCTAGCGGCGAAGATCAGAATCGGAATTAAGAATCGTCGCGACGAGAATAATTGTTTCTTCGGTGTGTAAAGTTGGCTGCCTGTTTCACAACGCACGTTGCTATTTGTTGCATGATCGATATTTCTAGTTTACATTTGCGCGTAGACAACTTGTTGCTAGGAACACATGCCGTTTCGAAACCGAGACGAAAGCAAAATGTTCCTTTTATTACGTTGTTTCAACAACGCGAACAAAATGTTCCTACAAGTTGATATTTGTTGGGCGTCGTTTGAAACGTGCAGCAACAACAAAAAGTTGCGCGTTGCTGCCTCAGCGATGACGCGGTTCAAGCGAGTATCGGTTGCTTGTGGGAACGAAAAGGATCCTTTGGTCGGAGTTTGGTCAGAGCGCAGCAAGGTACCCACGCCGATCAGGCGACTGATCGTTTTTCGAAAAAAGGGAAAAAATCAAGGGTCGGG